TAACTAACTAATCTTTACACGTTTTCTATGCGTATATACATCTGCTTAACAAAAAATGCACTGATGATTGGAATTTTATGGGAACTCAAGTTTCTATAACTCTATATAATGTATAATGCTGACGTTTATCTATTTTTCTTCTTAAGTTGGACGATTCTATCACTGAAGATTTACAAAGCAGAATTCGTGGGTTGAGCTGAAATAATAGATAACTGGATACGAAATTGAGTATATTTTCTACATAACTTTCCACCAGACACAGCAACAAAACATCCTTTAAATAAAAAGTAACACTTCCAATATTATTTAAGGTTGAATAGAGAGAGAATAATTAGAACAATTATTGTCCCTATTTTATTTCATAAGGTGAACTACTTGCAAGAAATTACTTGAGGTTGCTATTGATTAAACTATATTTATTCAATTTAAAACCCAGTTATCATTTTTATTTATATAAATTTTCTTCCATATTGCTTCTAACTAAATGCCAAAAATTAAATTACTGCATGATTGTTTTAAATCATGGACATGTTGACAATCAATTTTTATGCTGTAAGCGTAGTGTTTTCCACAAATGAGTTCTTTAAAAGTCTTGTTAAAATAGACAAAAACTGTTCATAGAAAATTCATCTCGAATTTAGATCATTGATGTGGTAATACTGAATTATTAGACGATTATTAACTACTTTAACCTAGTTTACCGTTGCTTCTCAAATAGGATAGGAAACAAAACTCAATGATTAATTCCTAACTGAGAAGTCACACAGTCTAAACATAATCGAGAAGTATTATAAGCAAAGATGTATGGTAGCTAGCAGTGGAATCCAGGACGCGCGTTTTGTCCTATTAGAGACTACTTATGGATTAATTCTTAGAACAGTTTGAACATAAGTAAAGTGTAATTATAAAGATTTTGTTTGAAATTTCTTTGGTTGTTAAGGAAATGACACATTTTTATTATAAAGAAAGAAAATGTTCAGGTCGTGCCAATTATTAAAGTCATCAATAATTTCAAGAATAAGATCACAGATAAATCAAAACATGATCAGGTGAACATTTTACTTTGCACTGATCACTCTACCTGACCCAAATATAGAAACTAAAATGTAAATAATTAGAGAATTGGTGTATTTAACTACAGCAAAGTACAACACTGATGAACTCCGATTTAAATAAGATGTCCATTTGATTAGAGACCAGTATTGTTTATTGTAAGTGACAGTAATGCACCATATGTTTGCAGTGAGTAAATTTAATTCTAACTTCATATAACCTTATCTCCGCATTAAGGAATACCAAATATAGTTATATCTCGAAGTTTTGAAAGATAACATGAATTATCGATGCTATTTCAGGTATTTCCAAATAGGATAGTGATGTAACGTCGCAAGGAACATGTATTCGTCAAAATTATTCAAGGTTAATTACATAAAATTGGCAACTACTTATTAGTTCGATCGTCATTACTGTTTATGAAGTAACATACTAAAACTGAAGTTATCTACCGAATGGCAAAAGTAACTTTAACTACCCGCCATAGCTTATAGTATGCTCCATATTAAAAAAATTGGATTTTTAAGTGTTTAATTTCCATTTAAATCGAATAATTGATTATTATGGTGAGAATTGATTCAGGACTAGTATCACATTTATTTACATGATTACTAATTATATTGTTACTCAAATGCTCATATCTCATGTATTTGTGATAAGATACACAAAAGTTAAGCTTTATGATCAGCTGTTAACTGATTGGAAAGTCAGTGACCAATAAACCATTTTCTTTCAACTGCCTATGATATTTTATAATCTTTAGTTGGTGTTTATGTTTTGCGCATAAGCATGTCATTTTTCTGCAGTAACAATCAGACCTTCTGGAGACTAGTAATAAAAGATTCCTCACGAACTTGAACTTTCCACTACAGGTAGAACAGGATAGAAGCTTTCTAACACCAAATAACCTCTGACCTGTTCCTGCACACATATACAGTTATTATTGATAACCTTTTTTATTTCAATTCTTTTCATTCATCTATATAAACTGTTTCACATTATATCTAGCCTTAATGTTTACTTCCAGTACATATGTAGCGTGGAGTCGAGTCGAGTCGAGGTTGACTATGGACACCAATACAATGAGACGCGTACCAAACAAACCAGAAGGCGAAGATTGAACGTAACCAGATTCATTTCGTTGGCGATCTCGTGGTATTGAACGAATACCAAGATCGTGCCAAAAGAAGTACAAGTGGAATGAGCGGGCAGGAGTACGAACGTACGATGTCACAATCCGCGGAAAAGTAATGGAATGTAATGGAAGCACAAAATGTGTCACTAGCATAGTTAAACAAAAGCACATTAAAACAAGCACAGGTACAATTGGTTATAATAATAATTGTTTCCATTATACCAATCGCGTTCTCGTGATAAAAGTAAGTCACTACACATATATGGTTGTAAGCAGCTGATGAGAAGCCACGAAATATAATGAATTCATACCATTCTGCGTCCATGTTTGTTCTGGCTTTATTTAAATTCATAAAAGGAACCAATTACATGAAACTTTAACTTTCTGGTTCATCGCACAGAAGTCGGAATACATACAATTAGCTTAGTGCACTAAAGTATGAGTTCACTTCAGGCATCATTAAGCGACATCGCCTATGAGGCACACTAATTTCAGAAATCAAACACCATACGAGAGATTAAACCACATGTTCTAGAAAAGAGAAGTATGTTGACTTTTGATTTTCGTGACTGGCCGATATTCAGGTTCTTATGGAAGACTACTGATGGGTATCTAGTAACGTAAAGTTTATAGCCTAAAGGCCAAATTAATGTCCCTTTTTAGCAACTCATTAAAGAATGGCTTTTCAAAGGAGCCATGTGAAAAGTATGTAAAGACAGTCGGAAATGTAATACCATTTGGTTACTTTTTTATACGAACATGTACATGCTACCATAAACATGTTGGTTATTGTTTACCTGTAAAAAGGATACTATTCCGCTATAATTACAGTAGATTATCTTATACGTTTAGTAATTTTGAACAAACAACTGAATATCACTACTAGCAGAGATATATCTGTCAAAGAATAGGTGTTATTTACATAATTGGTATTTATATGATCTGAAAAATAGTAAACTCCCTCTAAAGTTTTAAGAATTTGTTGTGAACCTATGTTATCCAGGATTTGAATAAATCAGATACTGTCTTATTTACAAGTTACCTAGGAAATGATTGGCAACTATCATAAACACATTTATACAATGGGGTTTCTAAAAGTGTTAGGTTCTACGTTGATGACGACTGACTGAAATAATCCTAATATACGTCATTTAAGGAAGCATGATGTCAACAATGATAACTCTTTTACGAAACCCGATTGTTGACCGAAAAAATCCAGGTGGTGACCGTAATTATATCTGACATGATGTAATTGTTTATATGATACAGAGACATTTGTATCTAGTAGTATTTATACAGATTATCACTATCTCCAAAATATTAAGATTATTCTGCAGAATGGTCTGTAATTCACAATCAGATGATGGAATACATATCTTGGAATCAATAAGTTTACCAATAGATTCACAATTTATCACACTGTCATACCTGCAGACTATGACGGCTTACGTCTGGGATAACTTTAGCAAAGATTTTTCTACTACCTAACCCATATTTATTAAAATCTTACGACTACTTATTTTTCCATGTTGTTCCTGACTTATTAACCCACAATAGGCTTTTTCTGCCTATGCTAACGCGTTGCTCCAAAACCGATTACAACAATATTTCAGCGATTCTTTTTAACCTACTTGAATGAAAGCGATTTAAATTGACAAGTAACCACAATTTTGAAACATTTACCCTTTTTTAGACTTGGCAGTTTTTATTAGTGTAATATATCAGTGAAATTCTTACAAGTATCTGAGCTTGAAAGCTGACTGGTGACACCTCATGGTTGAGATGAAGCGAGAATACATGATTATCTATTAAAAACTGTCTCATTTACAGAAATTAACACCAAAAAGCCCGATAAAATTCCAAGTCATTCTATAAACAGCTGAAATAACAGACACAAGGCCACTGCAGTAATAATTATCATAAGTTTCAGTGACGTGGTCAATCAACACTTGGTAATAGTCTAAATGGAAGAGGTGACTTTAGCTATGTGAATACATTTCTCCGTATGTCGAAGAGCAGGTACAGATCACTATGATTTCATCCGACGCTCAATAACTAAGCTTAAGAAAATCCAAAGCACAGATTTTCTGCTTGCAGTCTAATTAACTGTGAATCAGGTGTGCTCAGGTAGGTCGTTTGGGAAGATGATAAATCAAACTGACAAAATATGAAAGCGGCTAATGTTCATTAAATCTTAAAATTATAGTTCACAACACTCTAGATTTTAGGAATTTAATATATCACAAACATTGTCTCTAACACCAAATGCCTTTAAAATTTGAGTGCTTGCTACTAAATATCAACACAAAGATTGAAAGCAAATATGCACATATTTCATTAAACGTTTGGTGAACTCAAAACACAAGTCGTCACTTTAGCACTTCACGAACGTGCATTTTAGTAAGCTGTTCAATCAAATTAACCGAAGTGTCTAGTGAATAGATGCTTAACTACGACATATCACAACTTGATATATTAATAATAATAGGATTTAGCTGTTGAAAAGATGTTTAGACGAATATACAGGATCATTTGGTTGATTTACTAGATATTGGGCTGTATAGCATGAGGAAATATATGCTATCTAAATACGGTACAAGAGATTTCAGAGAGTGCTGATTATGATTCAAAGTACGTGGTAATGGTACAAATCTATCCCCTTTTTATCACTCTTCACACCTCATTACCTATTTATCTATTCGTTCTTCAACTTTGCTATCCTAGTACTTCTCGATATTTGTCAGCTGTCTACTCAGTACAAAACCACACAGCTTTCCGTAAGCCATCGATGAGATTGAAGAAAGACTGCATATTCAAAATAAACAAACCTATTTGACGAAACAAAACTTGATGAAATCTAGAAGATTAAATTACATTAACACCTACGAAAGTTCCAACTTACTAAACCAGTGTTTCTTTTAAAACAAATGAACATGTATAACTGGTAGAATAAAGAAAATAAGACATTACATAAGATATACATTAATTTTCAACTGAAAGTACGCTATTTATAATTAGGTAGTTTGATAGAAAAAGTTAAGATCTATACACAGAGGTCTCATTGTAAAGACTGTATGAGAATGTAAAAAATAAAAAGTTACGAAAATAAATAAAAGGAGTAACACAGGTGCGAGAAAATGCAAGTCATGAACAACACCTCATTTGTCAACTGATCATAAACCGACGATAGTGTTTTAGTAAAAGATATTGACGATAATGAGCAATGATAATGCTAATGAAAGACAAGGAACAAAATTAAGTTTATATGACATATATTGAACTACTTCTCAGTGTTATTACTTTTTACATGATGTGCAGATAGTTTCTCCAAAGTATGCTTTCTATGATCATTTGATTTGATTCGGAAATCAACACCAATTTTTAACTTATTGTGTTTTCTTTCATGTACTTCACTGGAATGCTTCTTATTGGTATTATTACTTGCACTAGCCCCATTATTAACATTCTCCTCTGGGCCTGTCATTTTGTCTGGTCTGGACGATCGAGAATTTTCACTGACTGGAGTTATATCTTCAGATACAATTTCTGGTTTAAATGAAGCACTTGTAAATACTTCAGCATTTGTAGAGCTAAGTTTTGGTCGTGGAGTATACTCAGTACGTGGAGTTTTATCTTCTACAGAGTTTATAGAGATCACAGGTGGAATATGAGTAGAATTAGTAAGTCCATTTCGAGAAGTAGGGGTATTTTCAATATCCCGAATATATCCATCTTCCATCCTAGGTTTTTGATCACAATAATCGTAATAAATACTGCGATAGTGTAATAAAGACTGACATACTAAAAGACAAGAAGAAAAACAATGATGCGTAGCACGATTACTAATTTCTATAATACTGTCCAGTATAGAGGATCGGATTGAGTCAGCAAGACGATTATTACTTCCAGAGTATTTATCAAAGCAATCGAGTTTAAATAAAATAAGATCTGAACAATCCAATAATATCATTAATAAACCAGATGAAGTTGGAATACGAGGACGTTTTGATATGCTAACAACACGATCTGAAAACTTTGAAAATCTTGACAATGAGTGAAATATTAGCATAGATATAATAGGATTTTGTAGATCAAGAGTAGATAATATCTCAATATAATTTTGAATTAAGCATATAATCGCAGACACTCTAAGAGGATTCAAATTCTCACTTTCAGTTTTAACATTGGCATCATTTCTTTCGATTGTTTCCTTAATAGAAACAGGATTATGAAAAACAGACGGTGTGGTTAACGATGGTAGACGAAAGTTGTTAATATCACTTATAAAGCTTTCAAATTTACCTTTTAAAGGGTCAGCTTTTACAAGATAATAATTGCATATGCTCAGCAAACATGATTCTAACAAACTCAAACTGATTAAAAATGATGACTGGGATGAATCTGATATATTTGAAACAATTTTTCTTGTCTGAGATGATGAGCTATTATCTTCATAAGAATGACATAAATATGAATGCAATAATGAAGGTAAAAGAAGAACAACAAAATTTTGTAAGGCCGGTAAACCTGATTTATAAAATACAAATAATCTTTGACAGACATCAGAAATAGTACTGGAAGAGACTAGTTTTTCAAATGTCTCTTCTATATCATCAACTAGTTTGTTACTTGAATACATCCATGTGATAAATTCATCCATCGCCTCACGAGATGATGGTTTGTAGGAAGATAACCACTTTGAAATTTTAGACGGCATCTTATGAATTAAACGTGCTGAAATATCAAAAAAATGTTTGAGTTAATCAAAGAGGCATAAGATCTTCAAAGCTACACAAAATTCTAAAGTTAAAAACGATAATCAAGCGAATACTTATTAGTTTTTATGCCTGTGAATCCCCATACTTTAATTTTTGCGAATTAGTAGTATACGTTGGTTGATTTATTGGTTGGGTAGTGAGGACTTACTAACAAATTTCATGTGTATTCTTTTTAAGCTTGTTGGTAAAATAAACCTACGACCTCGAAACCTTGGGTTGTATATCCCAACTCCAATTATCTAGTCTCGTAATTGAATATGTCAACATTGAACCTGTCAACCAATAAATACTATACCTCGTTTTGATTTGATAGACGAAATTATTTGACTTAGGTTTTTATTTCTATTTTGTTAATCCAGATACAAAATGTTGTTAATAGATTTATTTTAACACGTGCCAGTAAATTGGTAGTCGATCGATGCATTCATAAGTGAAAAAACTAAAGCTTGACTGCTTCACATACTCATTTTCCAAACACAAACTTAACCTAATCTGGACCATGAGTTTAAAATCTCACTAAGTTGTTATGCTTGTACAGACAACCGAGGTTAAGCCTAAATGAAACTTTGAAAACTATATCGATGCATGTTAACTGTTACTAATTACTTTAACAAAATGTTTGTAAGCAATGTATGCATAGCTTATTACTAGTAACGCGTTAAACGTACATTTACTTATTTTGTATACTGTCTAAACGGTTTACTTTAATCAATCAGTTTTGCAGTCGTACAACAAGTATGCATTATCAAATGTTATAACTTGTCTTACTTCATATGTATCTGGCATTGGGAGTGGTCAACACGATTTTCTAGTCGTAGTTATCAGCCATTTAACTTGTTATTTGTAATTTCCAGAGTTTAATTCTTTATTCTCATTAGATAGATTGTGAGGCTTTACATTATATTTTACTAATCATTTAGCGCGAGGAATTTCGTTTTAGGATGAGTAAATATATTTACCCTTGGGAGTTAGTCGAAATACATTAAAATGAGATTAAAATTGATGACCATAGACCACGGACATATTGGGGGATGAGCAACACTGTAGCTCTTAAACAACAATTAGGAGCAAATGTAGGCGGAATAAAGTGATATTTCACATCTGACACGATTATTATTATCATAAAGATTGACTTTGAAATGAGCTTGGTGAAACTCTTTTTGTGGTTTAAAACACCACTATAGTGCAAGCCAGACAAACTGACGAACGAAAAACTAATAGAACTGAGAAGCGTAAATTTACAATTTCCTGATTGCCCTATTATTAGATGCTCGAAACCATTTACAACGAGTATGATAGTTACTAAATGAGGACTTTGAACTTACTTCGGGAAAATGCTTGGCTCTTTATACTAAGATTATGTGTACTAGTTATAAAAAGCCACCGGGCTCAGCAAATATGAACTCTAGGTACCACGGGTAGTGAGACCATAGTTTATAGGCAACCTTTGAGTGACGTTAAAGTGGCTTTGGAGATGTCCACCTACTTGCTAGGGCTAAATGAGAGTTATAAGCCTATGTGAAGAATAAGGATTATGGCTTACAGTTGATGGTTAGGAGTTATATTCAAAGTTTTCATCAAGAACTGACAGTAGATAAAATCCCAAAACGCTCTTTAACCAAATGGATGAATGAATTTCGCGCCTTTACAGTATTTGGAATGTTTAGATTACTATACCCGACTTTCATGCGACCGCATTTGGAATATGGGATTTAAGCAGCAAGTTCTTGTTTCAAGTATGAGGCGGATATGTTGGAACGAGTTCAATGGCGAGGGACTAAAATAGTAAAAGGTTTCTCTGACCTATCTTATGAAGATAGACTGAGAAACATCAACTTATTTCCGTTGTCTTACCGCAGAATACGGGGTGATAAAATATTGGCTTATCGTATACTGAACGATGACCTTGGTATCAATATGTTGATGAGACTAATTTATGGACGAGCCAATCAGAGGCGTTTTAGAGATTCAAAGGTTACGGCGCCAACTTCAGTGCTTAATACTAACGTACTATCGGTTCACAAGGAATTTTGTACAAAACGTGATAATTAAGCGGCTATAACAAATAAAACAGCGGGACTATAATTTGTGGACGAATCAATCAGGTAATAAGATAATAGATCTCGGATTTTAACGCGAAAGCCTTTCCTCCATTTGGCCAGATACATTTATGGCATTATAGCTGATATCAGTTCGTGATGGGGACCCCGTATATAATTCCTAACTATGGCAAACTTTAACAATTATCGCGAACTGGATAATAAAGGCACCAGTAACATTGGCTGCATCCAGGTACTACAATATATACGGATGTTTTGAGAGCGTATAGACTCCTCCATAAGCTTGGTTACTTGCATCGTGTCGTTATCTACAAGTGCCATTTTGTGCGCTTAACAACCGGAGTGCACATAAATAAGATTGAAGCTGTGATCGAGGCTGAAAGAGTTTTCGAGACTTTATCATGGCTCCAGATGCCGACTATTCTGTAGCTGTATGGATGATTTCCTCTACTGCATGCATTACGATTTTAGAACGTCTTTCTAACCTTGACAAGTTTTTGGACCGCGTATAAGAAGTGCATCCACTTTATTTCCATGGTTTTGTATAATATATTTTTACTCTATACTAGCCCGACCGAAGCTGCTACCTTGACGCGGTGGTCGGGCTTGCCTATCGTGATGACCCAGCCGAGCTATATTGGCTGGAACATATGTTTCTTTAGGTTCTACCATACCAGGCAGGTCGATTGGAGAACGGTAAGACTAAAAGCAGCAACTCAAGGTCTGAGGGCGAAGTCGTACTGCTGACTGTAGAGAGGTGTGACAGCAGTAAGGTGTTTCCCTCGGACAACCAGCATGACAGCGATGCTGCTTTCCCACAAGGAGGGGTGAGGTTAGAAAAGGCCGACCCTAAAAATGTCACACCTCACCTTACCTCACGGATTTCCGTCTCCGGCGGTAAGACCCTTTGAAGAACGGAGCTAACACGTCGAAAACCTTCCACAAAAAGGCCGTGCGCGACCGGCCTCAAGCAGTTGTCCCTTGGGCTCTGCGGTCACGCTCCCAGGTCGTCAAGACCAACACTAATCCAATTTCCTTTTCAGGTTCCTCAAGAAATACCCTTCCACGGTGTGGGCAGCCGGGAAGTGACATCAGCACTCATACCCGTAACAGCACACGACTGACTCTATACTAGCTGTTTACTGATTGGCTAATATTTTTCAAGGTCACTTAAGACTTGTTCGAAGGTCGTCCATAAATCAGGCTCGCCAATATGTCTTATCTTGTCCTCCCGTCTAGGACTGGTCACTTGAGCACGTTCGAAGAAGGTTCAAAAACCGAGACCCAATCGTCTACGTCTGGAGTTTCGTTTCTCACGCCGACTAGTGAATTACTAAAATTCTTTAACAGAACACGTAAGATTAGCATCTTCTGTTGATATATTCAAAACGTGATTAGACCTCGTGTTACAAAGTGCAAGGATTAACGTAGGTCGATAGACCTCCTATCCTTATTACTGAAGAATGAAAACCCGAGACATATTATCTTATATCTCATCGGTTTGTACGTTAATTATCGTCACGCCAAACGAGTCTGTATCCCACCGCACTAGAGCTTGTAAAGAGTTTACATATAGTACCACGTAAAAGTCGTATATGCTGCCTAGACAGAAAAGCTTGAAAGTTGAAACTATAATGGACGATCATTAGAAGATCTTTAAATCATCTTCAGACAACTTACACACTACTAGCGCCAAAATAGGACTATTAGTTAGTATGGGGGATAAAGATTAGAGTTTGGAGTTAGGAATCAAAATAAGTTTTTGTCATGAACTGTCCAATCTCCCAATTTCGGGGAAAGTTTGATCCATTTTGTGGAAGCCGATATAGAAAAGCTTAGGGAAATAGCACAAAACCCCAAAACAGGGAGATCGGGTGACATCAGTTATTACGCCAAAATGCTAGACAGCATGCAAGAGTTTTGTCTTTATCCTGTAGCAATGCGGTCCATTGGAAGTCATATTTTTCCGCCATGGCGTAATCAGAATTATCGATTAACTACGTCATTTATTTCGGGAAAATCTTACCAAACTTATTGAAATCCCGACGAGACGTAAACTGTCAAACGCTCCGCCTTAGTGAAATCCAGTATCCAATACCGTAAAAGATAACTGGCATAAACCACAGGCATCTTCAGAACTTTTCGGAGCTCCTATGTGTTTTTTCAACTGAAGTGGCTGCATTCGTACTTCGAAAATCAAGAGGTACACAAAATTCGGGTTTTGGTTTAGACAGGTACACGCCATTCGTCACACACCACTCTTCTTTGTTAGGGCAAGTAGCCTGTTCCTAAAAAGCGATTCTACCAAATCTCATGTGGATACTATTTGAATAGAACAGAGTTTGCAAACACTGATATCCGTGTTTCTTCTGTCGAAATATCTCTAGGACAGCAAAATGAAACGGTCAGGAATGGTTAGGACGGAAGTTTTTTCTAATAGGCTAAACTATCATAATGCATTGCATCTAAGCTGGATAGTTATCACAGTAGCTTTTCTAGACGTATTAAAACATGGTCTTATGTGGTTGTTTGACTGAACAGCTTCAGCTATTATCATATCCAATAAAAAAACATCCCAACCAACAGGTTCAAATGACTACGAAGACGACTGTTTCTCGAAATTAATCAGGACTACATGAGTTTCGAAGTCAGCTCTTAATCGTGGGTTGTAGGGATTTTAAACTTCTTCAACTTGATCCTAGTCGATTGTATCTGATAAATCTAGTGGCTATTCACAGCTTTCCTAGGGTAAAATAAATCTGTTTAACCAAGATTTTAGATTAGATCATCAGTTATTACAAAGTGAATGGAATGACAGACGATTTTTCGCAGTAACCTGAATACTAATACTTTTAAGCCCGTTGAGAGTCTCTTAACTATGGTTCAGAGCTCTTTAGTACTGAAGTAGACCCTCGGCCAGAATGCTAACAAGTATTTAGGGTTCACTATTGGAATTTAAGTTACTGGAGGGATGTGTAGCGCTTTAGGAGACGAAGAGTTCGCTGATAACTCACTATTAGAATAGAAACACTGTGGTCAGATTGGGATATATATACGTCCTTACTTTGAACAGGAATTACAGTGTTTGTCTTCCTCCATCAAATTATGGTTTGTCTGTGCACTTGAATAGATTCATGGTATGACGACAGAATAAAGGTATTAGTCTAACGAATGTGCGGAGATTTTTTAATCTAAGCACTCTGCTTATTTTATACATAAAGCCAAGGTGTTTGAATTCTATGAATACCATGTCTGATCCTGCGTGATTGCGTTTTTAATAAATATTTTCTAAGTTTTTCATTCTAGCAGCTTTCTGTGGCTTTGAAGGAATCCTGTGGGTCAGAAACAGATAAGATTCTTTCCGCACTACCGCTTAATGACCGTGCAAATGTGTTTTTATTTCATATTTTTAGGGCTGTGGGAGAGCCTATGGGGCACTGTATTTGCATATAGACTGTATCTAAATGATTTTATGTTGTAGTTTGGTCTATCGATAGTACGATAGTTACATTAGGTAGCAACCTAGTTACGACTCAGTTCGTACTTGTTCACATGTTAGGACTGGGGAGAGTGATTTGTTGGCTTTCGTGAATTTGTATGACCGAGTTTTCAACTGGATTCATGTTTGAATATTTCACACACTTTCAGCATATTGGTTATTGCAGTGGAAAAAACACGCTGAAAATCCCTCCACAGGATTTTATTAGACAGTTTTTATCTATTTGTTTCTTCTCCCTGTCGTGTTTCTTAGTCTTTATTCACGTTCTTTTATACCACACTTCATGTTCTTCAGTCTTCCTCGTCTGGGTTTTCATTATTCGGCCTTGGTTAAAGGCTTACCATTTGTTGCTTAATTTACTGTTGCACGTTGTTGAACCGTTGGCAATAAGGTCATGTCTAACGGAACCTAAGGTCACGGTGTAACTCAATATATGATTGTTAACCTTTGACTGTCTGCCTGGAAAGGTCACTGAAATCCTCGCAGGTAGGTATCTGATCCAATCTTGTTGGAAATATTTTTATTCATTCATAGGTCTCGAACTCATTGTAGAATGATTGCTCTATCGGAAATTCGGTTTATTGAATAATACCGGCTGGAATCGTGTATTTATGTGAGTCTTCTAACAGGTAATTTTAGACCGCATCGCTTTGAGGAGCGAGGTCCTTATAAATATGCTATTTTGAACGAGTCTGTTTATTAACCTGATCCTAAGAGTAATGACGGACTTAACGGGTAATGAAGTCTTAGGTAAAAATACTTTTGGCCATAATAATTGCAATATTCATTACAACACTAGGGACTGATGCTACGCTTGTAAACTTACATTCAATTACTTCGATATTTAGTTTTAGGAAGAAGTCTAGTTTCTCGGTTTACGTACATCAGTACTTATAGTCAGTAATTTCACTGAAACCAGGATTTACGTAGTTTACGAAGACTGGCCTTAAATAAACAGACTGACGAAGAAGATTGGATAAAAATAGTCTAGTTCATAACTAGAGAAATGTGATCCGTTCAACAGTCAGCGTTCATACACCAGTGTAGTTAAAGTGTGAGAGGTTTGAAAATTTATAATAAAAACAAAATTTCCTGACCTACGAACTTTGTCTTTGTTTTCCATGTAACTTGATGAACAAGTAACTAAGTTCTGAAATGAAGTGTCATACACATACTGTTGGCTTTTATACGGTTGCACTGCACATTTGTATCACGAAACTCAATATGGCATGGGATGAAACTGTTAAAAACACTCAAACTAGCTAGAAATGCAGATGTGCATTCCCTTACTACTGGAAATTCGAAGTAAAGAGTCAACGATTTTTTGATGAGTAGTTTAGTATACATAATTTTTAAGAAAATGCGTAATGTCGTTTCAACGTTTCTATAAATAATGGTGACACAATGGGGTTGACTGTTGTTCTGCAATTGTATTCATTATGACACTGGAATATCTTTTCTACATAAAGCTGCAGTAATATATGATGTCTAATGAAGTGACGTTTTTTAAAGATTCTGCAGCGAAACAATGTCGTGGCCGAAGATTATAATAATCTGTTATAAAACGTCTTCATGGAGAAAGGACTCGGACATCGGAACACTTTAAGCAGGCCCGTTTGTACACTATCTTTCCCACATTCCACTCTCACACCA